TCAAGCCCTGTATTTGAAGGGCTCCTACTGGGTGACTGATTACCTTCTGAAACAAAGCAACTGAGCTTTCCCCTGACTCTTTCTGGGGAGCTTCAATCGATCAGAGACAAGCAGAAACCTACAGACCAGTTGAAGCATTCTAATGGAGTCTCCTGGAATTTCCCTTGGGCTGCTCCTGGGGTAATTACCTGTCTATCATTTTGTCTGCTATCTTTTAATGAGGGAGGAGTGTCAGACTCTCAGACCACTAATCCTCATTACTGTAGGGAGGTAAGCTTCACTCCTCCCTTTCTCACCTATGAAAAATGGCACCGGCTGCGCAGCCGGCTTGGCTCTCTGAGGCTTTGTCTACACTGGAAAGATTTGGCGATGACAAAATGAGTTGTAAAATCATGTTTACGCTGCCCCCGTCTGTCGAAGTATCATGGCTACATTGTCGGCAGAAAGGGCAAAGCAATGTGGTTATAAATAAATTCATGGAGATTAATGGACAGCAGGACCAAGTACCATCCCTGACAAATTTTTGCTCCAAATCCCTAAATGGCCTCTGCAAGAATTGAACTCACAACCACTGAGCTATTCCCCCCCCACCCCATCACCTTCAGTTGCAAAGCATTGTGGGAATGTGCAACATAGTGCTAAGCATTTAGGGAACGTGAAAAATATCCCGTCAGCTGCCTCATAGCTCCCCTGCTCTCTCAGTGCTTCCAGCTTACTTTCACACCACTTGGAATGGACAGTCTTTGCTGTGAACGCCAGCATCCGTCATAAGAAATCATGGAGCCCAGACTTCTCTCGCATGTGGTGTTTAACATGCATAGGACATTCCACATTGCAGCAGAGCACTTAGTAGCAGAGAATGAACGGACGACAGTGTGGACGACAATGTAAGTGGCAGGGACAGGATAGCATTGCTTTGGGCTATCGCTGAGCAGCTGTGCACAGTAGAGCATTACTTTTGGCTGAGGGAGACCAGCAGTAAGTAGTGGGATCGCACTGCCATGCAGGTGTGGGATGAAGTTCAATGGGTACAGAACTTCTAGATGTATAAAGCAACCTTCCCAGAGCTGTGTGCTGAGCTGGCCCCTGAATGGTGGCACAAGGACACCCAAATGAGAGCTGCTATCTCGATAGAGAAGCGTGTTTGATTGCTTTGTAGAAGCTGTTGATTCCTGATTGCTACCGTTCAGTTGCAGATCTCTGTACATAGATGCTCTGTTTGGATATAGCACAGACTGAGACTTGGCATAGTCAGCTCAGAGAAATACATCCTCTGGTTGCCTCGCGCTGCCACCACCCTCTCCATTGACAGCAAGATCAACTTCCCGCACTGCTGCCCGTGCCAACCTGACCCCGCTGCAATCCGCTGTTGCCATCCCTCCTCCCCCAGCGCCATTAGAGCAACTTACTGCCCCCTCCACAGCTGCACAGTAACTTACCCTGCATTTTTTCCCTTAATTCATGGTCCATGTCAGTCCGCGAGAGCCCTCATAAACCTCAGGACTTGAGTGCAATTCCTCGCTGCTTGGCTCACAGGTTGTCACCAGATTGAGCTCCACCTCTTCGTCCGCTTCCACCACTTCATCAGTAACTTCTGCCTCCCGCTTAATGCCTGTTTCTGATTTTGTGCTATAGGAACTATCCACACTCTCCCCATCCAAGATTGCATCCAGTTCTTTATAAAAACGGCATGTGGTGGGAGTGTCTTGAGTGATAGCCACCATTCTTTCTCTGAGGAGACGCCATGAGGAGCACTCTGCGTTGATCAGCCAGCAGGAAATGAATTTTAAAGTTCCCAGGGTTTGCATATGGGAGGGGCACATACGTATACCTGTTTACGTGGGTGCATAGCAGCGGAGTTCAGAGTACTGGCCAGAGTGGCTTATTGGGCATTGTGGGAAACATCCTGGAGTTCAATAAACTTGAACAAAACCCTACTGTAGTGCACGCTGCACGACTGTCAACAGCAAAGCGAGGGGGGAAGAGACAAAAGTCCCTTGCGGAGGTGGAAGTTTTTTGTCGCCAAAACTGGGTACTTGTCGTGACTTTTGTCACATTGCAGTGTGACTACTCTGAATTTTGTTGCTAAAATGGGGGGCTTTGGGGACACAACTTGCCAGTGTAGACAAGGCTTAAATCTTCTTTAAAAGTGGCGGTAACTTTCCCACCTAGCTGCAAGGCTAAATCATGGGGATCTCCTTGCTGCTTCAGACATGTATTCCCCGAATGGGTAAGAGGGAATTTGTAGAGAAGGGAGGCTGGCAGAAGCCACCTCACAACCCTTAGACTCATTTTTCCCCTAGACTGCCTTCTGGGATCTGTTCAGAGCAAATTAACAGATTTGCTAGTCTGGTCTGACTTGGAATTCTGTGTAAAAGCCACTGCAAAATCTGGCAGTTTCAGCTGAGGTTGCTTGGTCTCTGGGTTTGTTCAGACTCCAAAATCTGCTGGAACTGAGTTAATGAAAACCTGTTACCCAAACCTCACAGGAATGTTGGGTGTTTGGGTAGATTTTTGGGACTCTGTGCATTGGCCTTTTGTGGTGGGGCAACGTTGTATTTTGCTTTAATCAGATTTTTTTATTTGAAACTTTGCATTTGCTCTGTATTCTCAGTCTCTTCCTGTGAAGACTCTGCTTGAGGACTGTTGCCATTTCTCTTAGGCCAGGCCAAAATACATGGTCTGTGCCTCTCACCTCAGAATAATACTGGGTTTTTCCTTGGATAACCCCCTCTCTTCCTGTTGCTGGCTCAGATTACTGTAACAAGTCAGAGATTTTTCCCTTCCTCAGCAGTTGGTTACGGCAGGAGCTCAGGCATAAGCCCCTTCTCCCTACATGCTCCTCTTTTCTTTGCTCTTCATCTGACCAACATGGCCTGGGGAAATCATGCTGGTTTTGGACGATGTCCTTTTCCAACTGCTTCCATGAGTCAGATGCTGAGAAATGTACATTGTTGTGCTTTTTTAAAAGTACCTTAGTGTGTAGCATGTGCTTTTAACTATCTGCTTATGTGTGGTATTTCTATCAAATGCCATCACACAGTCTCCCTTGGGGTGAAAAGCTTAGAAGAAGAGGTGGGGACCATAGCAGTGACATTTGGGAAACAAAGCAAAAGAAAATTCTTCCAAGATTGTTGGGCTGAAACTTCTTGAAGAAGTAGGGGAAAGAAGTAAGGGAGAAGGAGGGACTATCTGATTAAGTGGTCGAACATTTACTGAAGTTTTATGTTTGTTGTTTCATTGCTGTAAGAGGACAAAAAAGGTAACTCCATTCTTCAGTTAAACTTGGGCAAA